CCAGAATTCAAACTCAGGCAGCCTGGCTCTGAATGAGGGCTCTGGACCACCAGGCTCTACTATCTCCCATGTGGCAGCAAGGTGAGTAGCCCTCTTCTGGCCTGTTTACTCAACTGTGAAATGGGCTTCCCATTAGTCACCTCTTCAGTTTGCTGCAAGGGTTAAATGACATCGGGCTTAGGTCCAGGAGAAGTGTTTTTAAAATGGGCCCCTTTGTTTCTTCAGCTCCTTGCAGGAGGATGGGAGAAGAGGCCTGGCCGCCTGCCTCCCATGTTAAGTCCTGGTGAGCTGTCCAATGCTCCACTGAGAGGAGAGACAAAACAGGGCAGAGATCCAGACCCTGGGTCTTCCAGAAACCACGGGGCGAAGTGCCCAAGGGCCTGTGTGCCTCTCCCCAATCCCCACTCTCGGCTGGGTGAGGGGCCCCTTGGCTTTACCACGGTCTCCCCCCTCCGGACCGGACCACACCGCATCCTGTTGGGGCCCTGCCAGAGAAGGAAGCGGAGTCCGGGTTCCCACTGGGAAGTCCCGCGGGGTGTGGTGCAAGGCCTTCCCTGCCCCCCAGGCAGATAAAGGCGCAGAGCCAGCCTGGAGCTGCTAGCCATCTCCGCGCGCCCTGCCTGCCATGACCCGCCGCTGCGCGCTGCTCGCCTGGGCCCTCCTCGGCCGTCCTCAGCCTCGGAGCGGCTCAAGAAGCCTCGGTAAGCTGCATCCCCATCGTGCCCCGCAGAGAGTGGAAGGCCCTGGCGCCCGAGCGCAACCAGCGCCTAAGACGGGCCCGTGCGCTACGCGGTGGTGTCGCACGCAGCGGGCAGCGCCTGGGACACCCCGGCCTCTTGCCTGAAGCAGGTCCAGAACGTGCAGCACTACCACGTGCGGGCGCTGGGCTGATGCGAGGAGTGAGAGGAGAGGCAAAAGCTGGAGACGGGACTGGAGCAGAGGGAGGAGCGCGGGCCCAGGAGACCGCAGGGACCCTGTTCTAGAGCCGCCTGGCCGACACCCCGGGCACCTTACTCAACCGCGCAGCATCTTCGTTTGTCCCCAGGGTCGCCGCTTAGGGCTGGGCGTGTGCAAAGATGCTAGGAGGACGGGAAGCAGCTGCAGTCCAAGCTCTGCCCCCAGAGGAACGGACAGACTTTGCCAATACACAGGAAGATGTCCTGTGCACCGGATTCCCTTGGTAAAGTCCGGTGCCTCGTTAAGCACCAGGCCGGGTTGCCGTCCCAGCTCCGTTTACTGCTGGCTGAGCCCTGGGGCAGGCATTCACCCTCTTTCAGCTTCAGTTTCACCTTCCTCCTCTGCAAAGTCAGGGGGTTCGTGGCCCACTCCATCACTAAGCCAGCCAATACCACTTAGGACACTGCCTGGTGTGCAGTGAGAGCCCCCAAATCCATGGACTGTTGGCGCCTATTACCATGTGCCAGGCTGTGCGCCATATGCTGGGATGGGGGCACAGCCATGAACAGTGTGAATCTAGCCCAAAGGGATTTAAAGACCAGCAGGCAGCAACAGGTGAGAAACAAGCAAAGTCAAAAAGATGAATTCAGATGGTGAGAGAAGCGATGGAGAAAAGGAACAGAGTGACTGACGCGGCTCCGGCATATGGGAGCCGAGAGAAGAGTGTGGTAAGCTGGGGGTACAGCAGAGGTAGAGGCCAGGAGGCTGAGTGAGTGGGTCATTCCTGAGGGACAAAGGGCAGGGTGGCTGGAGGTAGCCGGGAAGAGTGATATGAAATGAGGAAGGAGTTGGCAGGGGCCGGATGGCACAGGGTCTTGTGGGCCATGGGGAGGACCTCTGTTCTGCTCTAAGACAGGAGCCATGAGAGGGATGTGAGCCTGCTTGGACATGAGAAGCTCCCTCTGGCTGCAGTGTGGAGAACAGACTGTAGGGGGGTGAGGGCAGAAACAGGGGCAGGGATTGGTTAGATCTGCCTCTGGGGCCCATGCCCACCAGCTCCCTTTCCAGGGTAATAGGCTGGGGTCCTGCACACGGGCTTCTATAGCAAGAGACTCTACTGGTTCTCAAGCCTTGGTAAACACCAGAATCACCTTACTGGAAATGCAGGTCCCCAGGCCCCACGCTTAGAGACTGCTTCTGTAGGGCTGGGGTGAAGCCAGAAAGCCTGAGGACCTCGCTTGGAAAAACCTGGAAGCCTTCAAGGGTATCCCCAGCTCTTCTGGCTCAAGATTTTACCAGTCAAAGGCTCCAACTTCAAATTATTTTTCCAAAAGTCAGGCGCTCCAGTTCTAAGCGTTTCCCTGAAGGAACGAAGAGCAGAGCTTGGCTCCACAGCCTCTGGTCTAAATCACTTTATAGAAAAGCAAACTGAAGTTTGTTTCTCAGATTTTAGGATTCAGAGTCTGATCCAAATGTTTGGAATCCCCCTTCCTTGTCGCATCTTGTTCGGAGCCTCAGTTTCTTCACCTGTAAAATGGGGCTCCTGCCTACCCACCAGGTGGTGGGGTTTGAAGTTTAAATTAAATGCATCCATTTAGCTAATGTACAGAGAGTACCAACTGCTTGTGCCAGATGCTGGGGCTGTGGCAGGACCATAACCGGCCCAGCCCTGGGGGTCAATATCACTATGGTATTTCTAGTCTCTTCAGTCCGGATTCTGAGAGTCTGCCTTCCCAAATGGCAGATTCAGGACCCAGTATTAGAGTTCCCACATTCTGTGCATCCTTGGTGACCTTGTGAGCCAGAGGACTGAGGTGACAGATATCGCATCTCCAAAACGCCAGTCTTCTGGTTAATTCCAAATGTGTGCCAAATCAAACTCGCTCAAGCAGGACGTGTTGAATGACTGAACCTGACAGATCTGCTGCCAGGATTGGAAACCTCAAAGAGGCAGATGCTGGGGCTCCAGGGTTTGTGTCTGGTTGCAGCGCCAACCCTCGAGTCCCTGATCCTGTCACTCAAGTGTACCCCAGCAGGGAAGAGGAAGCAGGAAGCAGGCTGGGGAGAGGGCAGAAGAGCTTCTCAGTGGAGAGTTCTGAGAAGCATTAGTGTCCAGGACGTGACCTTGGGTAAATAATCTAAGTCTGCTTCCTCAGCTTAAAGTGGGGACGACAACAGTGCCTGCCTCCGAGGACTGCAAGTGAGAATTCAGCAAATCAAGAGCTCAGCCAATCCTCCAGGGAGGCAGGAGAGAGCCAGACCATGTGGGTGGGAGTCACGGAGACCTGGGTGAAAATCCTGACTCCTCACGGGGTTGAGGATGCAAAAAGGTGCATGTAGAGCTGTGCTTGACAAATGGCAATGGCCATGGCCATTATTCTTACTGTGGAAGATTAGAGGATAGGAGGAGGGTGTTGGGGAAATTGTGTGTGAGTGACAGGGACAGGGGCGGGGCGAGCAGAGGACAGGGAGGGAGTCCTCCCCCCCCCCCCCGGGGAAGCCCTCCGTCACTCATCCAGACCACCCTCCCACCCCCACAGCTTCCTGATGGGAGAAGACAGGCTCCAGTATGAGGGCCGGGGCTGGAACACCTTGGGCGCCCACTCAGGTCCCACCTAGAACCCCATATCCCTCGGCATCTCCTTCATGGGTAACTACATGGGTAAGTGACTGTCCAGCCATCAGCTAGGAGGCTGACATGGAGCCCGGGGGATGGCACCACGTGGTGAGTAGTTGCTGGGAGGCTCTGCCTCTGTGATCTCAGGAAAGTGACTCTGCTTCTCTGAGCCTTGTTTCCTCTTTTGGATAAAGACCATTTGCAACCACATGGTTTCAGTGAAGATTAGTCTGTCTCTATAAAAGTTCTTAGACCAGTCCATGGCACCTAAGAAGTGCCTGATAAATGCCAGCTATTGCTGCGGCTCGGCTGGGGAGGTCTGGGGGCAGATGAGGGCAAATAAGCGGTAATCTTGACAGCTGACACTTGCCGAGGGCTTACTCTGTACATAAAATAACTCTTTTGATTATCCCACAGCCCTGTGGGCAGGTGCTGTCATTCTCCCCTTTCACAGATGAGGAAACTGAGGCACAGAGAGGTTCTGTCATTCTCCCCTTTCACAGATGAGGAAACTGAGGCACAGAGAGGTTAAGTCACTGCTTGGTGGCGGCAGGCTGGGTTCTGGGCCCTAGCGGGCCAGCTCAGAGTACAAAATCAGAAGCACTACCCACACTCCCTCTGCCCTTCGAGGAAGCCCCAGCCTAACTCCTGCCTCTACCTCCCACAGATCGGGTGCCCCCGCCCCACGCCATCAGGGCAGCCCAGAGTCTTGACTCCTAGCTACGAGGTCAAAGGACACCGGGATGTGTAGCAGGCGCTTTCTCCAGGCTACCAGCTCTACGAAATCATCCAGCAATGGTCACACTACCACCGCGTGTAAGGCCCTGTCCGTCTTCTCACACACACCCCCACCCCATCAGAAACCCCACTGCCTCCCCCTCCCCCAATAAAGGCAAACCTTAAACTGTATTTGTGTCCCGCCATCCCCCTCCCCACGCTCTCTCTCCCCCGTAAGATCCCAGCCATCGCCCCCCAACCTCCCAGAACTCTGACCTTGCTCAGAACCCAGAGGCCCCGACCCTGAACCAAGACCCCAGAGATCCCAGCTTGGAAGCCAAATCACAGCCCAGAACCCAGAGGCCTCAGGTCACAGCACAGGAACAGCACCAAGTCAGCTGAGATGTCACCACCAGAAGTTCAGGGGTCCTCACCTCCCGGGCAGTGAGCCATGCGGCAAGACACCCCCTCTCTACCACACCGCCAAAGACATCCTGGGCAGCATCTCTGCTTGAACTCCTCTGGGGACAAGCTGCTCACTCCCACCCCTCAGGTTCCCCCCCCCCCATTGCTTTAGAGAGTGCGGGAGTTTTTTCTGAGCCTGTACTCCAATCTGCCGCCCAGTCATAGGCATGGCCAGAAATACACACAGGTCCCAGTTACACCCGCTCCCCACCCAATCTTCATTCCTCCTCACTCCACCCCGACCCTTCAGTCATAAGCTGAGGGATCCCAAGGGCACATAGGTTTATTTACAAAACACACTTACCCTCCCTCCCAGAATGCAATGCCTGCGGGAGACGTAGGGATTGGGGTCTCACACACCTGAGACCCCAACAGCACCAGGAGGAGCGGGGCCTGGGTGGGGCCAGGACACACCAGCCCCGCCCCTCACGCCGAATCCATCCGAATCCATTGGAGGGGCAGTAGTCTCTCTCTGAGGTCACGAGTGCACGTCCAGTCTGTTCATGTATTCCTGCAAGGCCTTCAGGCGGGCGTCGATTTCGGCCATGTCAGCTGCCTGGTGGTCTGAGCTGTACTCTGTGAGAGCAGGCGTGGCTGTGGGGGTCCATGAGGGGCCCAATATCCTGCCCTCAGTAGCATCCCAGTGGGCTCTGGGGCAGGTAAGGGGGAGATGTGGAGTCCCAGGCTCACCTTTGATGGGGACTGAGCCCCCCGAGTCCGCCAAGCGTCTCTGATGGCGGCCGCGTTCCAGGGGGCTAGGCTTCTGCTGCTGGGGGTGGCAGGAAAGGGGGTCAGGCACCCTCTATGCCTGCCCCCCAAATCCCACCGGCAATTCTGAACCAAAGGACCTCATAAAAATTAAGGGTTGACACCTACTGAGTACTTATATGCAAAATAAGCTCCCTGTAGCTTCACCAGAACCCTCAGACGTGAATGCCATTACCATCCCCACTTAACTGATAAAGAAACTGAGCTACAGAAGCTAAGTAGCTACCTTGAGTCACACAGGTTCTAGGGAGGGGAGGCAGGTTTCAAGACCTGGCAATTTGAGGCCAGAGCCGGTGCTCCTAACCAGAGTCTCCTGCCCCCACCTCAGCCCCATCCTCCTCTCCAACCCAAAGGTCTCAAAACACTGCCTCCAGGGCTTCCCTGGTGGCGCAGTGGTTGAGAAGAGTCCGCCTGCTGATGGAGGGGACACGGGTTCGTGCCCCGGTCCGGGGGGATCCCACATGCCGCGGAGCGGCTGGGCCCGTGAGCCATGGCCGCTGGGCCTGCGCGTCCGGAGCCTGTGCTCCGCAACGGGAGAGGCCACAACAGTGAGAGGCCCGCGTACCGCAAAAAAACAAAACAAAACAAAACAAAAACACTGCCTCCAGAGGCATTGCGGAGCCGCTTTTACAACCTGATCCCCTAGAATGGAATCATGGGAGAAAGGGCCAGCGAGCTTCCGGTGGTTTAACGCTGCCCCTGCCTCCTCCAAAGCCTGAGGAAAGACACTCACCGTATTGGGCCCACTCCAGGTGGTGGGGCTGGGCGGCTTCCCCCGGCGACGAACGCTGAGAGGATGGAGTAATCAAGGACCAATGGGAGGGGTCTGTGGCACCTCCCACCTGGCCCTCTTCCTTGGTTTCAAGGCTCCAGCCTCCATCACCCAAGTTCCCCGCAAAAGACTGTTTCGAGTCTCCCCAGACACCTGTTTGGGGGCGGTCCTTTCCCCCAGCCCAAGTTTTACCCTCTAGGGAGGGATTCAGAGAAATCCTCGAACTCGCTGCAGGAGCTGGCGGACGAGTAGCGGCTGCGGAAACTGTCCACTAGAGGGAGAAGGAGAGTGTGAGCCTCTTGCACTGGCCACAGCCCCGCCCAGCTCGTCTGCCAGTCCCGCGCGCTCCGGCCCAGTTACCCGAGGAGCTGCGGTTTCGGGAGCGATTAGCCGCGTCTCCTCGACCGGTCACGGCTACGGGGGGCCGAGTTTGGCGAGACCAGGAGGTGGATGGACCGTCCCCGCTTCCTCCGCTGCCCAATCGGTTTCGCTGCTGCTGCTGCCTGGAGAACAAGAAAGGAGACGCCCACCTGTGCGCCCAACTAATTCGGGAAAGGGCGTCGCTGCGCCCCGTGGGTCACACCTAAATAGGGAAAAATCATGCGGAGACACAGACCAGGTAGGGGTGGGAGAGACAAATAAGCAGGGCGGGGGGATGGGGGAGGCTGGCGATCAGGAGAGGGGATGGAGGTCAGGCGGGAAGCAAGAGCAGGTAGGGGGAAGGAGAGAGATGGAGCAGGTGACAGGTGATGGAGATGGGAGTTGGGGATGGATGGTCAGAGGGTCAGGTAAAGGGGCAGGGATATGGGCAGGTGAGGAGAAAATGGGCGCTAACTTCATCTTGATCGCTCTCTGCTTCTTCTCCTTGGCTTTCACAAAGGCTGTTGGGTCGAAACGGGGCACGCGACCACCTAGGACCGGGTCGGGGTGGGGTGTGGAGAGAAGAGGAGGCTGGAGTCATAGGATCACGCCTCCACAGTTCTAGTTCCATCCACCTCCTCCCACGGGCAGAGCAGGGTCGTCACAGACCTGTGGGCGAGGGCGAGGGGCGGCCAGGGCGGCCTTGACCCCGGCCCCCGCGGTCGCTCTCCCGGGATGAGAAGCGGGCAGCGCCACGGCCACGCGACGTGGAGCGCTCCCGAGACGTCGAAGCCCGATCTTCCCGGGCCGAGGGCGGCACCACCGGTGTAGTCCGTCTCCTGGGAGCACAAAGCCCACTGTCAGTTTCCCACCAGCGACGACAACTCCTATCCCAAGCCTCTTGCCGGACTGCGCTATCTCCGAAACTTCAGGCCCATCCCCCATCAACTCCTAAACATTCACGTACTTACACGATCCTCACAGATACCTTCTCCCAGGGTCCACCCCTATCGGAGCCCCACAAACCACGCCCCCCCAAACCCATCTGTCACTTCCCTACAACCTAATACATCCTTTCACCAGGCCCTTCTCCCAGAGGTCTCCCACAGCTCCCTGGAAACCCTTCCCAATTTTTCAACATCCACCCCAGTACATGCCGGCAAACATCACTCGGATACCCACATGCTTAGCCACGCCCTTTCGCTCAACTAGACCTCAGACCCCGCCCCTTTTCGGTCCCTATCTCCAGGTTCAGCCTCCTGAATGCCGCCTCAGGCCTGCCCATCTCTCTACAGACTCCGCCCATCGTTTTCAACTACTGTGTGTGTCCTTCCCTATGCCCCATGCAGTCCATTAGGCCCCACTCATCCCTCCGTTAGCCCACTCTCAGGCTCTACCCGCCCTCTCCACCCTACCTGGGCCCCGCCCCGTCACTTAGGCCCCGCCCAACCACGCCCGGAGCCCACCTGCAGGCGGGGTCCACAGCTCCAAGGCCCCACCCACTCCGGGCCGCGCCCCTCACCCCCTCTTGTACATGGCCAGCTCGGTGTTCAGCGTCTTCAGCCGGGCACGCAGGCTCCGCTCCGACGCCTTCACCTCCTCTAGCTGCCGGTTGGGAAGAGGAGCGTAGAGGTCCAGACTGAAGCCAAAGTCCGGGACCCGCCAGCGCCCAGCCGGCCGCCCCGCCCCCTCACCTCCTTGGCCAGGCGGCGGCAATCCTGGCTTCGGCGGCCGGACCCGCGGTGCCCGAGGCCGCGCTCCTGCCGCAGCTCCAGCTCCAGGCCGCGCACAAGCCCGCGCAGCGCCTCGACCTCCTGGCGCGCCGCCCGCCCGGCCAGCGCCTCCTCGCGCGATCTGCCCAGCTGGGCCTCCAGCTCGCGCTTCTCAGCCGACAAACGCGACACCCTGGGAGGAGCAGGTAGAAAGTGAATGCTGGGGAGGGTGAGGGGCATGGTCCCATAATCCTCATTCCTCCACTGGGTTGGGCACGCACCATTTCTTGATCGGTAATTAGAGAAATGCAAATGAAAGCCATCAAGAGATGCTGAGCTGATAGGAACTTTATAAGACAGGGATCCAGCTCTCAACATCCAAACCCATCAGTCCCAACACCACCTGACAGTAGCAAATACACAGCCCCACAGAGGAAGGCACTGTCCCAGAAACCTGAATCTGATTAGCCTATAGGTTTAACAACCACTTCGCGGGAAATAAACAGAACGGGGGACCACGTGAACCATGGAGATAAAATCAACAAAATCCAGGGACTTCCCTGAAGTCCGTTGAAGCTGGGGCACAAGTACACGTGCATTATACTACTGTCTACTGTGCGTGCTTGGAATTTTTCCCAATAAAACATTTTTTTAAATCTGTGGCTCCCCCGCACTCTCCAAGGAGCTTCCCCATTCGGTCCCTTCCAGCTGACTTCCCCCCTCCCCTCCTCTCCTCCCCCCTCCCTCTCCCATGGTGCTCTTTGCAAACGCAAAATTCCCTCCTCCTAAACCCTCTCTCCTCCTCCTGGCAGGAACCACTCCACTCATCCTCCAAACATCACATCCCCCCCCCGCGGGGAAGCCTGCCTGCCCTCCCAGCCAGGCTGTCATGTCCCTCTATTCTCTCCTCTCCTGGCTCTCTGTATGTTTCCTTCCCAGCACCAATCATGGTGGAGCTGACGTTGATCAGTGCGATTATGTTTTCTGTCTGCATCCTCACTCCAGCTGTCTGGTCACTGTGTAGGAACTCGGGCTCTGTGGCCTGGCTGATGGCATCCAACTCTATTCCACTTCTTACAAGCTGTGTGACCTGGGGCAGTTTCACTTCACATCTCTGTGAAGTGGGATGATAATAATAACACCTACTGATAAAGTTGTAGTAATCTATAAAGAGCGCTTAGACTGTGTCTGGCACTGAGTGATGGCTCAGTAGACATCGGTAGGGCCAGGCAGTGTGCCTGGCACACCGTAGGAACTCAGTAAATGTTGGATGACTGAATGAATGAATCTTGGAGTCTTCCCAAACTCCCTAACTCCAAGCTGGGAAGAGAAAGGTAAGAACCAACTGTCCAGTTGTGGATCTCAGGGCAGATGACGCCACCTTGTGGCCATCCTGGGAAACACATGCACACGCACCTGGAAGACTCGCAAGGTTCTCCAAGCCCCATGAGCTTGCACTTCTGGGAGGGGAGAGGTCTGGTCCTCCCAGGCAGCACTGAGCGCTCAGTCCTGGGCTAGCACCTGCCAGCAGTGCACAGTGGCTGAGGAACCAAAGGTGGCTTGGGCTGACTGCCTGGATTCAAGGTCTAGCCAGGCCATATTACTTCACTGTGTAACCTGGGGCAAATTCTCTAACCTCTCTGGGCCTCAGTTTCCTCCTCTATAAAATGGGGACAATAGTAATGCCTACTTTGGGAGGATTAAATCAGTTAAATCATACAGCACTGAACAGAGTCCCTGGCACACAATTAAATGCTCGATAAACAATAGCTACTGGTATTATTATTATTACTACTACTAAAAATAGTATTAGCCCTCCCCAATGAGTGGGGCCCCCACCAGATGGAGACCAAGTCCCAGTCAGCCCCTCCACAGCCCTCAGCACACAGCAGGCACTCGGTAAACATGCCCATCAGGTTCCTGTCACAGCCTCCCATAACACAGGCTCCCTTTCCTGCCTAACCCCATCTCCATTTGCAATATACTCAGGTGGGTATGTGATCAATGTCTCTCTGCCCCCTGCGCTGGCACTACACCATGGGCAGGGAAGGGGCCAGCACAAGAGAGGCGCTTGGTGAAGGTGGATTCAACTGAATAGAGCCCTGCCTCGCACCCTGTCTTTGCACATGCTGTTCCCTTTGCCTGGAACACCCCTCCCTTCCCAGGCAGGGTCAGGTCTCTCTCTGGACTCCCTCAGCCCCATCCATGGTGAATCTTCCCTGTCTACAGACAGATCTGTCTCCCGCACTGGACTGGGAGCCCCAGGAGAGGACAGGGCCAGAATTATCTCGGTCATTGCTGTGTCCCCAGCACCATTAACACATGGTGGGCACAGAGGAGGGGCTCAGAATAAGTATTTGGGGAATGAGGGATGGCTGTCCTTCCATCAATGCTAAGCACTGGGTCCCGCAGTGCATGATGGGATGTGTCCCCCCAGCTCCAACCGCCCACCCCACCCCCAGACTTACTGCTCCCGCAGATGCCAGATCTCAGTTTCCCGGCTGTCCCGAGTGTCCTGGCCATCCAGCCCTCGAAGGCGGCTCAGCTCCTCCTTTAGTGAGCGAATGATGCCCCGCAGGACCACAGGGTCTGGTTTGCCCTGGTACGGGAGGGGCAGCGGGTAGTGAATCCTGAGAAGGAGGATTAGAACCGTGGCATCTCAGAGGCCAAGAATCCACCCAGGAAAGGACATGTGACCATTTCTAGACAAATACTACAGGAAATTGGTTGGGAGTCTTCTGGGAACACTTTTAGTTTCCTGATAAAAACAGCTGATACAATTAACAAGCACAGCCCTGTTCCATTTCCTCCTTCTTTGATATAGATGCAACGCCTGGAGAAACAGCAGCCATTTTGTGACCATGAAGAGATAAGGGTGCAGTCAAAAAGCCAACACATTAAGGATGAGGAAAAGAAGAACAAAAACAGAAGGAGCCTGAGTCCCTAACAAAACTGTTGAGTAGCAGCCATCTACCTAGACATCTCGTTATGTGATAAACTATTGTTTAAGGCACTGATAATGGTTATCCTGATACTTGTAGCCAAACACAATACTAAATGATATAACCCTCAACACTGAAGATTCCAAAGGCTAGGCTTAAGCAACATCCCCACCTAGCCCTGGGTACCAGGGGTTCCTAAGTTCTATCCACGTCCTCTCCCACCTGACCACCAGCTACCAGCCTGGTGGATATACTTGTACCCACCTGTCAAACTCCACAGAGTAGATGAGGATCAGGTAGCGCTTGGAGTTGAGCTGGGCCGATCTTGATCTCGAGGCCAAGGGGCCTGGGCGGCCTCCCATCTTTCGGTTCCGCAGGGATTCCAGATCTGTGTAGGTCAGCAGGTCAAGCGTAACCGACTCACTGCTCTGTTGGAGAGAATGGGAGGAGCTGCCAAAAGACCCAACGTGGCCATACCCAGAGCACACAACCCACACACCTGGGCCACGCCCCATTCATTCTTTAGGTTGGCTGGGCTTTTCCACACTGAGGCTGGTGATCAAGATGGCCCTGCCCCATGAGGGGCTGCCACAGGACATCATCAGAGGGAGAAACTGAAAAGAACCTAAATGCTCAGCCATAGGAGACAGCTTAGTGCTGGCTGGGGCTTCCAAGTACTGTCCACAGAGCCCTGGGGGTCCCCAAGACCCTTTCAGGCGAGTCCATGGGGTCAAAACACCTTGCATAATAATACTAAGATGTCATCTGCCTTTTTTGCTGTGTTGACATTTGCACTGAGGGTGCAAAAGTCATGGTGGGTAAAACTGCTGGTGCCCATTAGCAGAAAGCAAGCCAGGGGCATCAAATGCACTAGTAACCATTGTATATTCCACTGCCACGCAGTCTCCGCAGGGGGATGGGAAGGAGGGAGAAACACACAAATAAATAAATAACTAGATAAAAACACAGAAAATGAAACCTAGGAATGTCCTTGATAAACCTGTAAAAATTATTAATTTTGGGGGGCGCCGTACTGCACAGCTTGCAGGATCTTAGTTCCCTGACCAGGGATCGAACCCGCACCCCCTGCAGTGGAAGCGTGGAGTCTTAACCACTGGACCGCCAGGGAGCCCCAAATTATTAATTTTTTTGACTCTTGACCCTTGAGTGCACATATTTTTACTACTGTGTGTGACAAAATGGAAAGTACACATTCGGCTGCATATCAAGGTACGACATTTTCTAGAAAAAGCACTTGTGTGATTGAATTTTGAGCTAAATTAGCCACTTTTTCATGGAACACTATTTTTACTTGAAAAGGTACTGACAAAAACTACGGTTATTCAGTCTTCGATGTTTGGCAAGCATTTTCTCAAAAATGAACAAAGCAAGCCTGTCACTTCAAAAAAATACAGCTAACGGTATTTGTTTTGCAACAATAAAATTCAAACTCTAAAGTGAAAATTAGAATTTTGGAAAACTTGTATCTGCCACTGTGTGCTTGATAGCTTCTCAGTGTTGAAAGGCTTTCCTGGACAGATCAGTGAGGATATTAACAAATATGACTTCCTGATATTATATAATGAAATGTGTCAACATTTGGAAGATTTGCACAACTCCGTGAACCAATATTTTCCAAATGACCAATGCATGATGTTACAAATGATGCTACAAATGCATGATATTAGAAAATGGGGAAAAGATCCCTGCAAAGTAAAGACACACCAATAGATTTTAATGTCACAGAACAGGAAAAGTTCACTGGGATGGTCTCAGATTCCACACTGGGATAAACCTTTAAGAAACTACCACATGTCCAGTTTTAATGTGCTGGCAAAAGAGGATATGCACAATTATCTGAAAAAGCTATTAAAGGACTCCCTTTTTCAGCTATATATCTTCCTGAGGCAGATTTTTCTGCATGTACGTCAATCAGGACGTATCACAACAGACTGCAGAAGCACATGAGAATCTAGCAGTTTTCTATTAAGCCAGACATTAAAGAGATTTGCAAAAAATGTTAAAAAAAAAACTCCACTATATTTCTTACTAAATAATTTTGGTTTTGAAAATATTTTTCATAAAAAGGTTATTTAGGTCAGTAACAGGTTTGTTATTGTTATTTTTAAATGAATTTGTAAATATCTTTATATTTTTCTCAGTTTTAATTTACAATATGGCAAACAAATATTGATAGATAAAGCCTGCATGAACAAAAGCTCTTTGGTGTCCTCAGTAACTTTTAAGAGTATAAACGGGTCCTGAGACCAAAAAGTTTTTTTTTTTAATTAATTTTTATTGGAGTATGGTTGCTCTACAATGTTGTGTTAGCCTCCACTGCACAACAAAATGAATCAGCCATACACATAACGGTATCCCCTCCCTTTCGGACTTCCCTCCCATTTAGGTTACCATAGTGCATTAGGTAGAGGTCCCTGTGCTATACAGTATGTCCCCATCAGTTGTCTATTGTATACATAGTATCAATAATGTGTATGTGTCAATCCCAGTCTCCCAATTCCTCCCACCCCACCCCTTTCCCCCTTGGCATCCATACATTTGTTCTCTACGTCTGTGTCTCTATTTCTGCTTTGCAAATAAGAACATCTATACCATTTTTTCTAGATTCCACATATATGCCTTATTATACGATATTTGCTTTTCTCTTTCTGACTTACTTCACTCTGTGTGACACTCTCTAGGTCCATCCACGCTGGGACCAAAAAGCTTGAGAACCACTGGGTTAAATAAATCATGATGCATGGGTATACTGGAATACTAAGCAACCACTAACAAGGATGACAAACTCAAAAGTTGTAATAATAATAAAAATAGACAATACCTGTATAGCACTTATTATGAGCCAGGCACTATTCTAAGCTTTTTACATGTAATTCACTTAATCTTCATAACATTATGAAATGGGGACTACTATCATCCCCACATTACAGATAAGGAAACTAAGACATGGAGTAACTGGCCCACAGTTCCCAAGTAGTAAGTGCTAGTGATCACTGATTTCAGAGTCCATGATCCTGGCCATTATGCTATACTGCCTATAGATACCAAAATGTTAACAGTCTGAGGTGGGGGATAGAAACAGAATTTAGACTCTTACTTTCTAAGTCACACATTACTTTAATATCATCACAGTTTTATGAGTGCATATTATACCTGTAACCAGAGAAATAATGTAGTTCACAGTTTTTAAATGATGTCTAAATAGCGTCTGTGTCACTTTAAGCCCCAACCTGCTTCTTTTTTTCCTATTAATATTTTTAACTATTTGACATTATATATTTTTTTCAATTGTCTGTCTCTCCCACTAGGCTGTCAGGTTCATGAGGGCAGGAATTTTGTCTCTTTTGTTTAGTGCTGTATTCCAGTGCCTGGCACACAACAGATGCTCAGTAAATGAAATGAATGATTATGAATGAAATGAAATGAATCCACTGACATGACTAAATTTTTATGAATTATTGTTAAATCTTTTAAAAGGCTACAGAATACCTTGGGAAATATATCAACTATATAAAATTATAGATCTGCAAATACACACACGTTCACAAGTGAATACAGAAATGCAGAAATGGCTGGAGTGATTTCCATCAAAATATTAATGAAAGGGACTTTCCCAGGGGTCCAGTGGTTAAGACTCCACCTTCCAATGCAGGCGGTGCGCGTTTGATCCCTGGTTGGGGAACTAAGATCCCACATGCCACGCAGTGCGGCCAAAAAATATATATATATTAACAAAATATTACTAGGAGTGAGTATTGGGAATGGAGTGATTTTTACTTTCTTCTTTACATTTCTCTGAGACTTGAATTTTCTCCATGATAATCATTATCATTAGAATTACAACCAGAATAAGGTATTTACATTTGGGAAAGAAGAAAAGAAAACGATAGCCCTGTTCCTTCAATGAAAGAGAAGGTAGAGGGTCTTGCATACATCAGGTGGGCATCTACCCTCCCAGAGACCCAGGGAACAGACAGCTCCCCCAGCCCCCAACCCTGGCCCCTACCTGGGTGAGGGCCGACTCCAGCATGTTACAGAAGATGTTGAACTGTTTGAAGTTCCCTGTCTTGTGAGTCAAATCTTCGATGACTAGGTAGGGAGAAAAGTCCTTCCTGAGGTCTGACCACTTGCCCAGCCCAAGGGCAATGCACCCAAGCTTTCCACCTTTCCCCAACACCAGTGCCTCTGGCCCAAGAGATGAGCCCTACACCCCGTCCCCAGCTTAGAGAGCTTCTAGTCAGGTAGAAGAGGCAGGTGGACAGGATCCTGACTGGCCTCATCTTCTGGGAGAAGCTGAGCCCAGGGAAGGACAAGTGAGCCCACCCAGGCAGGCACACTCACAGCTGGCATCGAATTCAGCCCGCCACTGGTCGGCCGTCATCCGGTCCTCCACCTCCAGCTCTAGCACCTGCCCAGACACCATCACCCGCACGGCATGCTCCACACCCCGGAAGACGTAGTCCACCTGCAGGCCAGCTGGCTGGTCCATGGCCAGTGTCGCTGGAGAGGGGAATGAGACAGAGACCCGGAGGGGCTGAGAGCCCAGACTCAGGAGCTAGAAGGCCAGAATCCTGGTTCCACCATGTACCACCTTAGGAAAGAGACTTTGTCTCTCTGTGCCTCAATTTCCTCATCTGGAAAATGGGTACAATAATGGCACCTACCTCATAGAGCTGTCATGAAAATTAAATTGGACAATACATGTAAAAGCACTTGGAACTGTGTCCTGCACGTTACTATGCCCAATACACACTGGTTAATAGAATATATGATTTCCAATAAGAGGATCAAGATTAATACTATTGATTATTAATTTATTAATCCTTATACTCATTATATATTTATTGTTTATTCATTTATTTAAACATTTGTGGAGAAAAGTCAAGCCGTAAAGGGAGACAGAGTACTGAGATCAGGCTGGGCAGAGATTTTAAATAGAGGGTCAAGGGCAGGCCTCCCTGGGGAGGTGACATTTGGACAGAGAACTGAAGAAGGTCAGGGAACAAGCCAAGTGGCTATCCCTAAGGAAAGTGGTCCAAGTCGAGAGAACAGCCAGTGCATGGATAACAGATTATCCATGATAAACTTAAATCATTTACATTGAATTAATAATTGAACTTCTTCATTAGTCCGCTGTAAGCATAAATACTTTCTCTCAGCCAACAGGACTACTACTCACTGTTAGTTCTATGAGGAGCTGGAGGACAGGGTAGGCCTCCACCCTCAGCATGAATTCTATGGAGTGGTTCAGAATGGGAGCCCCAGGCTGTTTGGGTTCGTGTCCAAGTTCAGCTATGTGCACTTAGATGGGCAAGTAACTTAACCTCTCTTGGAGCCAGATTCCTTATCTTTAAAGCCTGTGCCATCCTGGGTGCTGGGGATATGATGAGAAACCAGATTCTGTCCCTACCCTCAAGAGGGTGGCAACAGTTAGAGGCATAAAAATGTCAACTGGTGGGGAAAGGGGATACTAGCGAGTAGGGGTCGCTCTTTTAGCTAAGGTGGTCAGGGAAGGGCCACCCCCTCCCTGCTGAGCAGAGGCCTGGAAGGAGGGAGGGGGGGAAGACAGGTGAATATCTGGGGATTAGGATCCAGGTAGAGGAAACAGCCAGGCAAAGATTCCAAGGCAGGATGTACCTAGTTTGTTCTGAAAACACCAAGGAGGTCAGCGTGAGGGAAGGAGAGAGGGAAAGTGAGGAGATCAGAGAGGTAACGGGCCAGATGATGTTCCTGCAGGCCTTTGTAAGCCCACAGAAGGATAACAGCGTTTATCTCCTTAGATTGGTGTAAGGATTAAATGAATTAATCATGTTAAAATCCTTGGTGAAATTCAGCCATCCCTGACCCAAGCAAGCACTCAATACATATCGGCATCATCATCATTTTTTTTTTATTGAAATACAGTTGATGGACAACATTATGTTAGTTTCAGGTGTACTACACAGTGACTTGACATTTGCATACATTATGAAATGATCACCACGACAGACCTAGTAACCATCTATCCCCATACAAAGTTATTCCAATATTACTGATCATATTATGTGGCTTATTTTATAGCTGGAAGTTTGTACCTCTTAATCCCCTTCACCTATTTCATCCCCACTCCCAGTCATCGCTATTCTTGTTATTATTACTTTGTTGTTGTTTCTGAGCTTGAAAGGGACTAGAGAGACAAGGCCAGCCCATTCCCTTCCCAGTGTACAGATGGGGAAACTGTGGCTCTGTGAGGAAAAGAGCCCTGTGCAGAGTCCCACAGGTGCTGCAAAGACAGAGGCACCCAGGGATGCCCCCAACCCAGTCCATGGGGACTCCTCCAGTGCCTGACCTCCTTCTCTCCCCACTGTCTCCTTCAGTCCTCACACTTTCCCCAATTTAGTCCTTCCTAAAGTCTGATGTTGGAAAATTTAATATTTTGAGCCCTGAATCTCTAGGTCAGTGATTTTTTTTTTTTTTTTTGGACCGTGCCACTGCACGGCATGCAGGATCCTAGTTCCCCGACCAGGGATCGAACCCGCACCCCCTGCAGCAGAAGCACCGAGTCTTGACCCCTGGACTGCCAGGGATGTCCCTCTAGGTCAGTGATTTTTAATCTTTTGAGTCCTTGAGCTTTTGAGAATCTAATGAGATCTCTGAACCCTCCCCAGATAAATGAATAGATCCATAACCTCTGCAAGTAATTTCAGAGTCTCCCAGAATACCACATCCCCAGGCTCATCCACAGATCCCCTTTCTCAAATGCCCAAGGACAATCGCCAGAGCCCCAGCCATCCTGAGAGGCACGTCTCTGCCTCTAGACCCAAGCTCTTAACTTTATCTGGGGGAGGGGGTCTCTGGTGCTTTGGACGGACTGATGAAATCTGGAGAACCTTTTCCCACTCACACTCTCATAACTGTACTTTCATTCTCTGGGGTTTCAGAAGCGGGGGGGAGGTTAATAATTCCTGATCTACGGGTAAACAAACAGCTACACATTTCAACATATCCCTCATCCCCTGGCCCGTAGCGCGGGTGCCAGGCAGCGCTGGCCCCGCCCTACCGGGTGTCCTAAACCCCGCCCACCCACTCCGCCCCTCAGACCCCGCAAGCCTATCAGCGGTTGCGCTGTCCCGGCTACCACGGCGCCAAAGGCAGCAGCGGAACACTTGACAAGCCACGCAGCCTAACCGCCCCATTCACCACCCCACTCTTGGTACCCAACTCTCCCGAGGAGGCAGAGGAAGAAGGGGACCCGGCCCTGCCCTCCTCCTTCCCCACTCCCCTACATAAGCCCCCCATTCATAGGCCTTCATTAGATAACAGGGCCTTTCTGCATCCCACTGCCCTGATGACACAGCCAACACCTCAGTCTCCAGATAGTAAGCCCCTGAATATTCTTCCCGAATTCAACTCTCCCCTTACACCTACCTGCCTCCTCACCTGCACAAACTGCGCCCGCTCCCTCCCTCCATCCTCTCTTCTAGACAGAATAAATCCCACACTCCCCAGCCAGCTTGACTCTCCCCTCCTGACCCCAGCTCCCCATCACTCACTCCCTAGATGGCCTCGAGATTCTGGTCACTCCCCTTCTCCCAGTCCCCCATGTTCTACTGGGGTTCCCCCCATATTCTACTTGAATTTTGTCCTGTCCCCCACAACACACACAGTATTCCGCCTGGATCCTGTCTGCATATTTGCCCAGGGTTCTACTCCACACACACCCCATTTTCAGCCTGTATTCTGTAACCCTGATATTTCACCTGGATTCTGTTCCCTCTCAAATTCTATGTAAACTCCCCGCACCACCCCCCATTTTCCACTTCTCTTCCCTTTGGAGAGCCCTCCTTGAAGCCCCCCTCCCCCCCAAGTTCTGGAATTTTCCAGGCACGGAGTCACTCCCTCCCTCCTTCATGCCCCACCCTGCCCCCACTGCCGACCCTGTCCTTCTACCTGCATCCTCCATCCTTGCTCTGTGACTCCAACCAGTGGTCTGTGACCGCCGACCAGTGGCCCATCCTGGTCGCTGGTTTTGTTCCAGTCGCACGTCTCTCCCAGCTCCTCTTCGCCTCAGCTTAGTGACCTCCGCAACCCAGCCGGGGTGCTGTGCCTTTGAGGCCCCGCCCCTACCAACCCGCGACGTCAGCACTTCCACCTAGTGCACTCCGGGTGGACTCCCCAGCGCCCCACTCTGGTCCACACACCTGACACCATTTCTCCGGCCTTATGACATCATGGCTTCAGTGCACACGCGCGTGTACACACACTCAGTTTTCCAACCCCCAGCCCTCTCATCTTTCACTAAGGTGACCCCCTCTCCATTTCCAGTGTGACATCACCGCCCCTGGCTCCTCCTCCCGAATTATGCTCCCCGGATATTTCAGATTTCACAGCCCTCACCCCAGGACCGGAGTTGACAGTCCTCCACGCTGGGTTCCCCCAAAACAAGTCCACATCACCATGTCCTACACCAGACATGGGTAAATCACCGCCCCTGGCAGCCCCTACCCGATGGTTGTTTTCCCACCATCTGCCACCACCACGCCCCACACCAAATATTCCCGCCAGTCATGACCTAGCTGGAGTCTCCAATACAGCGTACCCCCCACTTCACCTTCATACACGTGGCCTGGCCTCAGTGACTCTTCCGAGCCCCCAGCTCACTGCCCCGCCCCCCACCATGTGGGTGAATTGGGGCTGGATGGAATCCCCTTCCCCTTAGCCCTGCACTCCAGATCAAAACCTTCCACATTATCCGCCTGGACTATATGGACCCCAAAGCCCTTTAAGACACCCACAATCCAGACCCCCATAGTGCCCACCGCAGCCCATCACCACCCCCTGGGATATCAGACACCCTCCCTCACTGTCCCTCAAATGCTTTTTGCCTTAGATAAGGACTAGGCACGCCTACCAACCAGTGACTCACCCGTAACTCTGCTCTCTGGTAGGTATTGCAACCGTCCCCCATTGTACAAAGGATGAAGCATCTTGCCTGGAATCCTGCAGCGAGGGACTGGCACATTCATCCCCCTGCTCCTTACTCAGCTGCCTTTCCCTGACTACCTTCCTTTTCCTGCCGTAACTCTCTTCCTTCCAGCACAAATCCAAATGTGGGCTCACACCTTAAGCACGGTACACGCTGCAGGCTGGGGACTCCTGGGTTCAGATCCTAACCCACGATGTGACCCCCGGGAAGGCATTTACCCTCTCTGGGCCTTTCCCCATCAGTAAAGCGGGGAAAATAAGAGTTCCCACCTCACACAGGATTATTGTGGGGATTGAATTAGTCAATTCAAGGTGCTTCAAACAGAGCCTGGCACTTGGTCAACCGTTACCATCTGTGCAACTAGCTGATGACTAGTTGCCAGACCAGAAGCTCATGAGGGCACAGCCATTTTGATCATTCTTGTATCTTCAGCACCCGGGGCCTGGCACAGATCGGGGGCTGCTTGTGAATTAATGATCGATGCCAGGAGGCAGGGTTCAAGGCACTGGAGATACAAGCAAGGTCTTCTCAGCTC